CGTGGAGTTCACTGATGCAGAGCTCTGATCCCTGTAAATTATGTATTTCTTTTTCAACATGGCAAAAAGAGGTTTTAGTACGAAAACAACTGGGTGGAGATTATACTGAGCTGTGGGAAAACGCAATAGAGTGAGACTATTTAAATGACACTGTGAGAACTTCCTCACTGATATGCCTGAATGCTAAATTGGTGGAACTATTGTTCCTGTAGAGGTGAAAGGATAATTTAGTTTTTGTGGTCAGAAAAACATGATCTATGTCTCTTGATGGTATTTTTACAATAAACACAATTTACACACTGAAAAGAAACTGAACTTTTGCCAGTTTTAACAGATAAACTATAATTAAATGAAAGCTCACCACTCCTTTATGGTCTTTATAGTCTTTAAATACCTTGTACAGAGAACTCTGGGCCCAACCCAGGAAAAAAATGCCTGATACATCAAGGGAGCAACTCTGCTTATGTACTTGATATTATGCAACTGCTGCATTACTTCCAACAGCACTGAAGGATTATTTTCTAAGGATAATTTTCTCTTTAAGGTAAACAGCCAGCTAAATTTCAACTTAGGTATTATTATCCATGTAGACACCTTTTACTCCTATTTCCATCCAAGTATCTGAGAAGCTACAGTACCATTCTGCATGCAAATAACATCAATCCAATAAATTAATAGCATTCATAAAAAAAAATCCTCATAAATTTTTAAATAAAAATCACCTTAAATATGACTTCTTTTTCCTTTTATTTTTCCAAGGGGAAAAAGAGAATTAAATGAAAAACAAACCCTCTGTTCAAGTCAGGTCACCATGACACAAAGCAGTACAAACCAATAAATCCAGCAAGGCAGACAGTCCAGCCTGGCAGTGTGCGCACAGGCTTTTGAGCCATGGAAAGCTGGGAGGGCTTTGGAGACTGGTTCTGCGCCTGCAAGCTGACTTATCGGGAGGAAAGAAAGGTCAGCTTGCCATGAGCAGCATGCTAAGCCAGAAATGTGCACTTGGAGTTGCAGTGCTGCATGGCAGTGTGCAGCCCCATCCCCTCCTGCTCTGGGGATAAACAAACCTTAACTTTGTGCAAGTAGGAGAGTAGAGGAAGGAAGGATCCCTACGGATGCATGTTACTGCTATGTCACTGATATCTGACATAAATTTTTGTGTTTAGATAAGAACACAGTAAAGCAGCTGACCTTCCCAATAAAGATACTTGAGAGACACGTATTACTGTATTTAAAAGAAAAAAGCAAAACAAAACAAAACACAAAAAATCTAAGGTGCTAATGAAGCATTGACTGGTCAGAAAACACAAACTGAACTCTCAGCTTTCTTTACTGTAGATATAACACAAGAAAACGTAACTGCAGTGCAGCTGAAGGAACAGCTGGAGTTCAAGAATACCTAAGCTTCAGTTTATTATGGACACAGACAACTAGATGGTCCCAAAGCACCATGGAATCGATTCAAAGTTTCTCAGACTACATTTCCCTCCATCATGGACTAGAGGTTAAGAAACCCAGATCCCCCTTCCCCTAAAGGCTGGTCCAAGTGTTGATCCAGCTACTATCTTTGAAAACATGAGCCAATTGCTTGACCTTTTCTATTTCTTTGACCACAGCAGGTACAGAGGTGTCAGAGGGCAGGACAGCCTGTGGCGCTGGAGGCCTCCTCTTCTCTGCACTGCACTGTCACAGCCCTCCAAAGAGAGCCAGGCTGCCACAGCCAGGCACACCAACCTTCAGAACTGTCTTTATAAATGTGATACCTCAACCAAGCTGAATAAGGACAGCAGAGCTCAAAGGAAACAGTTGACTCCATGGTTTTGTTTGTTTGCTTCACCAAAGTACCAGCAGAAAGCAATGCTAAAGGCGTGGGGTCAAAAATACCTAAACTGTACAGATTAGGAGAGACTCAGCTTCAGGCATAGCTTGCATTATTTAGCATAAGGTGAATAGCTTTCAGTGATGTCTCAGACAAAAAAAACCATATGCCTCCTATCTGCAGAAGATGGCAAGATTTCTGATTAGTAAAACAGGTCTCAGATCTCTGAAATCAGGCACATGGTAAATGCCAGAGAATAAAAAAGTCCATCTGCCAAAACTTCTTGTTTCTGGTATGCAAAATACACCGTAAGAAGATGCAGCGTTGTAATGCCTGCACTGGAAGTTTTATTTAGACCAATTTGTAAATCTCAGGTCAAAAAGCACCTTGATCTTTAAAGAAATATTAATGCTGAGAAATACAGACAACTAAGCCTCTTACTGTAAAAACCTCAAGGAAATAAAGAGTTTGCTGATGACTCTCCAGACATTGCTGCAGTGTTGAAAGGCCACAGTACATGAGATTTCTGCAGGGAAGGAAGCAATCTTGTGCTTTATCACTGCTCATGGTGCTTCTGTAATCCAGAGCAAATGATAGTATCAAAACGGAAACTAAAGGCAATTTTATAAACTGGGCTCAAAGCTGGAAATTCTTCAAACAGTTTTTTCGAACTCCAGACAATCAGGTAACGAACACAGGACTTCAAATCCATATAGCAGACACACTTAGCCAACCTTCTTCTGCTTTATGTAGTGCATTTATCATGGCCATGAAGTTCTGGGGATTTTTTTCTGTGAGTCAGACATCTTTAAGAAATACAATTTGAAAATGTTTTTGACCTTTGATATCTATTCCCGAAAGACATCTTTTCTTCCTTTTTGATTATGCCTTTGAGACAACCATAGAGCATTTCAGAGTAATCTGCCATATTTGTGGGACACAGTGACATCACAGCCACTTCAAAGACATTTTAGGGAATTAAGTAAAAGGCAGAAGTAGGCTGATCCAGGGTATTCCTGAGGCTGCTCTGTTTTCCAGTTTCAGAATTAGGGTGTCAAGGAGTACTTTTTGCTGTGGGAAGTTTCTGTTATCAGTTTAATCTAAACAGTATCACAGTCTGTTTATTCAATGGTAAATCATGTGGCAATGCTTAAACTTACAAAGAATGCATGAAAATATTGTCATTACACAAAAGAGGAATGGTTGAAAGGGGTTTTTTACTAAGCTTCATAATTACTGAATCCAAGTAGAAAGGAAAATAAAGAAAACAAAACTTCAATATGTAGAAATAAAGAATTTTGTGTTATTTATTAAAACATAATTGCTTTAAGGATCACAGGTAAAAGTCAGACTGTATTGAATATGAAAGAAATTGCTTGTGTCTGGGCAGTTAGAAATGACAAACCTAGTCAACTAACACAAAAGTTTGCTTTTACCATTTTCCCCAGGGCCGCACCATTGCACCAACTCTAGTGGGTTTTGCATTACTATGTGGGAATCTCAGACACGTTTCTATCCCCAGCTGTAATGTAGCTTCTTGATTGGCTTTAGGAAAGTAGATCTAGAAGGGATCTCTTTAGATCTGTTAGCTGCCCACATTTTTTTCAAGAATCAGGACGTCATTTTTGCGCACAAATAACACCACATACTTTTAATGAGGGGCAGCCTGATTTAACCAGGGATACTGCACCTATGTCCAGTGGGCTTTTGTTCATGTGACAAGGACACGGACCAAGTCACACATCCCCAGCAGCACGGTGACACGCAGTGGATGCATCCAGCATGGAATGGGGAAGAGCAACAGCATGTGGCCAGCCAGTGCCCAAGTAAGACTCACCACTTCCCAAACTGCTAGAGAATTTGAGGATCATTTTCAGTGATTGGCAAAATTCGTTGTATTTTAATAGAGTCATAAATACTTCTTGAGGTTTACCCGTTTCTCTGTTGTTCAAATATGTCAACAATTTACTGCCTTAAATGCATGAGTTGTTTCATATCCATATAAAAGGAACAAACACCACCGCATTACGATTTTTCAGTCAAATATTTCATTTCCATGGTAAAATATGACCTTCTTGAATGTATAAAGCTAATTTAATCCAATTCCTCTTTCACAGTTACTCCAATTATAATGGCATGCCTTTAAAATATAAAATATGTAGATCCACTAAATAGTACTAAAATGAGTCTGATGTGTATCAAAATGTTTGCAGTCATATTTTCCATTTCTTTTTTTCATTTAATCTCACTACAATTTGATGTTAATGGCTGTTTGAGTATTCAGTATTGGAATTCAAAACATTAGGATTATTAAGAGTTGCAGTCAGTGAAAACATCTCTATTTAAAGCTTCTGAAACACAGAATTTTAAAGTTCATGAGCTTAAGATTATAGCTAAGTTATTCAGCTTTAATAAGTACTTTTAAGGAAAATAACACAAACCAAAGCTTACTGGGTTTGCATACACATTACTTCTGGTGTCAAACATACTGGAATTTTCTTATGCTTTCTGAATTTTAAGGAGAGCTGCACTGAATGGTGCAAAAGCTAGATTGCTGAACTGAGAGTTTCAATGCAGTATGAGCACAAACAAGAATACGAATGTATATTTCATGGCTAGCACTTTGGTTACTCATGAAGGTATTTCAGTGACATCTCCTTAATTCTGGACAGCTGACTTTGAAAGGATATTTCTGTGAGGCATATTAGTTAATAAAAAGTGAAATATCCATGAGAAAATGTGGGCGATATTTATTTCAATTCCTCAAAAATCTTGTATTATGCACATGCCCACATGTACCCATGCACACAATTTACTGAAGTAAAAAGTTTACACCATGTCATATCAGCAATTTGAGAGCGTGTAATATGTAAGAAAAATGCATAACTGTTCTTAGATACCTGAAAACTCTATTCATTGTAATTCTTATGCATATCTAAAGAAGCAGCTTAACCAAGTTTACAAAATACTTCTTATGGCTGTTGTGATTTTTGCAGTTAAGGAATCAGGAGCTCACAATATGTACATCAAGCTTAAATGTCTTGTGTATGTTACAAGTATAAAGCAGTAGGTGGGGTAAGTATGACAAATATACCGAAGTCCTGACATTGCAAAATCTTGACCAAAATAAACAAACAAAAAATGACCCAGAAATCATCTCTATGATAAGAGAAAAGACATTTCACTTTTTGTGAAAGAGAAGAGGTTTCACCATCCCTGCCAGGATCTTGGGTAGCTGGGCAGCAATCACCTCTGACATCATCTCGGGGAATTCAACACTCAATGCACGGGACTGGAGAAAGGTGTTCAGACAGAAGAGATGGAGCTGTTTCACCAGCTAGATTTAACAAAACAGAAACATGATAAATCAGGCTAACAGCAATGTAGCCAGGTTAACACACTGTCCATCACTTATTTCACACATCCACCAGCTGACATCACAATATACCTTCCTCTGTCATTCCTTAAATCAATAATGTGGGTACTTGTCATTCCCTATTAAAATATCCTCCCATGGCAAAAAGTCATAAATATAGCTAAATGGTATGGCATATTAAAACAGTGCCTCACTAATATTACAAAGTGTTATCATCCTCACTCATGATGGCATGCACCATCAACAATGGCAATTACTAACCAAGTATTCAATCTTTCATTTTATCCGCATGTTCACCACACGTCTCCATGCCTTGTTTACTACGCACTATTCAAGCATTGCTCTGAGTGTCAGCATTTACTATTTCCTTCTGAGCTTTTCCATGGTTCTGATTATGACCATACCTGGGTATGCCACAAACATTAAACTCCACAGGCCCTTGTCCCTTGAAAACAACTGCTCAATATATGTGATTATTTCACCCCTTCTGTCTTCTCTGAGAAGTTCCAGTTTTGTAGTTTTCCTTTAAGACCTGTGACCTTTCTGTTGTCAAATATCATACTACTTCTGCTACCCTAGGCTTTAACAACAAACAGTCTCTCCAGTGTGATTACCTTTTCCTTGTACCTCCTTTCACTTTATCAGCCTGAGCTGAAACAGAGACCTGAACTAAGATACTCCAGGGACAAACACTACCCTCATCTTCACTTTGTAGTATATTTTGGAGCAAACCTTGGTCACTCAGTTCACTGAGGCTATTCTACTTTGTTTAAGTATTTGAAATGAAGAAATTGACTGTACAATGCACTACTCAAAGTTTTCCTCTGGGTGCTGTGACACTCAGATTACAAATTATTTGTACAGGTAAGGCAGGATGACCTTTAATCCCAAGCAAGACAGATCCAAACAACTTCCTCAAGCACAGGGCTGCTGTGAGCAGTACACCGGCCAGGACTTGTTTTTACAAGTAAAAGGGGACTGACTGAACTCCAGTGAAGGGTTTAGCACTGTCAGCCCCAAGTGACAACTGCAGTCTCACTACCAGTAAATACTTAAAGTCAAGACCAATATCCTCCCTTCAGAATTTTGTGTTGTCTACCTTCACCTGTAAGGATGCTTTCTGTATTTGTTTCAGTCTCCTTTTGCTGGTATCTGAGACAATGTAATAGCTAAATGGTGAATGTGAGTTCCATGGACAGCAGAAGCTGATGGAGAGGTTTGTGCAGAGCATCAAAAGACTCCAGATCACCTGGTGAACCACATAATTATCAATATTCTTACCTCTCTTAACTCCCATAAGTGGGATGCTCAATGGTTCTTTTTTCCCCCCCATCAGAAGAGGGAATTAGTGACAATGAAAGTTTTTCGATTAATAAATGAATTTATTCATGATCAATTAGATCAATCAGCAAAAATGCAGATTTGCTGAGTGCAGAAGAATATAAACATGCAAAGGCTCCATCCTTCCCTGAACTCCCTGCAAGCTCCTCACAACCACCACTGAACTTTTGAGTCTTCCTAAACTACCATAGTGCCACTTTCCCAGCGCTTGCTAAAACCATGAGGTATGGCCCTGTACCTCTTCTTTTTCCATCTTTTGCAGATGTACAAGCCATTACAAAACAATATTCCTGTGGGCAAAGGTTTATATGGAATGTCATTCCTCAGTTTTGATAGATATTAAGCCAATAGGATACATGCTGTATTCTCAGAGATGTGGAAAGGATTCAGCTGCATCTTCTAAGACACAAATCTCTGATATCACCACTAGAGTTCTCAAAAATTATTTAAGTCCCAACTACAGAGAGATACTGAAAAAATGGCACAGAATATACACATAAAATAGTTAAATTAAGGTTGCAAACCCAATATTGGTTATCTCTCTCTAATTCTTAGTAGCCTGGCTTTGCAATTTGAATTGCATAATCTTCATATTATTTAAGTATTTTTGTGAACACATTCATGAAAAATGCACATGCACACACACGCATACAGACCACTTCCTACCAAAAACTGTGCTATACCATTTATGTTACAGAAATAATTAAACAAAATATCAGCATTAAAATACATTTTTCTCAAATATTAAAATCTTGTATACCATATAATTGATATAAAATGTGTGTTGATACTAAATATATAGCTATCTACTCATACAAATATACACACCGAAGGAAAAATCATAGTATCCCAGAATTGTTTAGGTTGGAAGAGACCCTTAAGATCATTGAGTCTAACTGTTAACCTAACACTGCCAAGTCCACTACTAAACCATGTCCCTAAGCACCATGTCTAATGTCTTTTAAATACCTCCAGGAATGATGATTCCACCACCGATACAAAAAGCAAATCACATTAACAAGTAAACTTACATCATGCATGGAATCCATCAGTTTTGTAAGTTGATAGAAACGTTGCGAGTTGGCCACAACTCCTTTCTGGCGCAAACCAATTGCCTTCACCAGTTCTCTAATGTAACTCGTTCTCATCTCATCAAATTGGCTTTGACTTCTGAGACCTTCCAAAGGAACTAAAAAGAAAGTAACACTCGTGTTGCAATTTATTCTGAAGGCAATGAGAGACATTTGAAGTACAGGAACAATTTATAGCGTATTTCACACTGTGCAGTGCAATTCATCATTATACGCCAGGTACTTCTTCCTATTCGACAGTGAATCCAGCAGACAGGTGTAGCTGAGGCTTAAGGCTAATGCTGATGTCCGGAAATAGCCGTAAGCTTCAGCAACACCTGTCTGCTGAAAAGAAGATGGCCAAAAGAAGCACTCCTGTCCTTGAGGAAAGATGTCATGGACTGGCTCACAGTTACACTCCTGAGGGTCAAACCTCACAGACTTATCTTGGAGAGATCTGGCTGGAGCGCTTCAAAAGGGAGGCAAGGAATGAACTAACCACTCTTACGTAGTGCAGACAGTAAAGCATCCAGAGCTCAGGCTTCCTGTTTGGATCTCTTTCACTTAACAGAACAGATGCACTATCAGAGTCTTAAAAGTGAATAGCTTTTTAGAGAAATTAGCAAGGAGGAGCAAAGGGTTGAACTTGCTCTTCTCACAGCCGTGAGGACCAAAATGAGGACATGGAGAAAACACTGAAAAATGAACCTGTTAGTGACTGCTAGTGATAAGATCAGGGTACAGGTGCAAGTTCTAGACTCTACTTTCCTTGATGTGGCAGAGTGTAATACACAAGTCTTGTAGTTTATGTTGTCAAAGGCAACTAAGAAAAGAAAAATTGGAAAAAATGAAACTTGAAAAATATTCCCATCTGGCAATCAAATCTTAAATCCTTGCTTCACTATAATAATCATATATTAAAACATAATCTTGTTTCAAACATACTGTTTTTGAAAGAGCTGTAGATTTCTTCCCCTTTCCTTTCTCTCTTGCCCACGACATTTCACACTGCAATGCAACACTTAACATTTCATATTCCAACAGCAAGCATGAGGAGAAAGATTCACCTCATCAAATGTTAGACAGTTTATAGTATAAGCACCTCCACCTGAGCTAGTTAGCAGTGTAGTTTTAGTGGGAATGTAGTAGGCATGTTCATTTTTAGAAGTATCTTTAGAAAGAAATTAATTGTGCTTTAGAGATGCTTATTTTTCTCCACCTACTTTAAAGGAATTTCATAGGGACTAACATAATTAAATACGTCACCTACTAGTTATCTAGGTATCTACTACATCTTCAATCTGGTATCAGACCTTGACTACTATCAGGCCACAACAGATTTCATTTGAGTCTCTTTTAAAGAAAAATTGAAGCTTGGTTCCTAGTGACACTGATTTACTCAGTCAGTAACACCTAACTTTCAGGTGATTTGTCACTTTCAGTAATTAAAACATAAATAAAATGTGTGTACTGACTCTCTGTAGATTGCATTGTATTGTTAGATACCTAGAAATGGAATTCTTAAAAGAGAAGCCACCTAAAAAGCAGATGGGTACACAGGGGTTGGGCCTAAACCCATTCCCCGAAAAAGAATTAGACAGCAAACCCAGCACTGAGAGAAGCACTGCTCTCCATTTGGAGGTCAGAAACCCTGTTCTGAAACAGATTGCCTAAGTCATGTCTGGTTTCTCAGAAGAATGTAAGGGAATAAGAGACACTTCAGGCAAACATATTAAAATTCCCTCACCTCGAGCCCAGAGAGAGCTGACAAGGCAGAAATTTAAATCTCCACTCTACCCGAGTTAAGCAGAAGTCTCCTATTTTGTAAGGGGACTGCCCAAGAGAAGAAGTGATCCTGTTTGCCAAGGATGTCTCTTGCTCAGTGTCTCATCAGACAACTAATTGAATGTCTGGGGTGAGGACGGAGACACAAACACAGAAAACAGCAAGTATACCTTGAAGACAATTGTAAAAGCACTGAGCTGGGCTATGGAAGTCAGGACTAAAACAGAATTTAAATAAAAATAAAAATAGAGAATAGAATTTGTGACTGCTTCCACAGAAAGTATGCTTATAACACTGTATCTAATAATAGTCCAGCTCTTAAGGAGGGCATGTTAGATTTCTGATGGAGATGACATCCTGGACGAGGTGGAGCTTTGGTTTGACTCAGTATGGCCTCCTAAGTCCAGAGAGACAAAGGTGGCACTGGAAAGCGTGCCTGTCACAGGGTGTTCTGCTTGTGGAGAATGCAATGTGCTTAGAAGTAATACTCAGAGGCAGGAATACTCACAGTGGGGAAAAGTTAAGTCATGGGAAAAGGATAGCTTAATTTTCAAAGCCTGGATGGTTCTGGGTATGTCTAAACAGTAGAACTATGAAATTATTACATCTGTGGAATCTTTTTCATATAAAGTGACATTCTGATGGAATTTAGGGTTAGGTGGATGCTATCCTTGACTTAACGTCTCTAAACCAGCAGAAAAGTCCTTACATTTCCCTTGTGAATTAAGATAAAAGATCTCTTCCAGCAATGCATGGCCTATTTCCCTAAAATTCTGCAAAAGCACAGTCATGTTTCCATCTAATCACAAAAAGTTCACTAAACTGTTTATGTGAGTGAAGAACTACAATGTCTTACATCCACAAATGCAATTTAAACACAGGTAGCTCAAATATTCCTTCCCCCTGAACACATGCAAAGAATGCGGATGCTTTTATTCAGTGGCAAGAACCCAGCCAATATCTTCTGCAACAAGATTTTGCAACTCCTCTAAATCAAAAGTCTGGAAAGTGCTAGAGCTAGAAATGAACTTGCTATATGCTTATTTCTCCTTTTTAGCATAGCTCTACTTAAATCATCATGTTTCTGAACTATTCCTAGTATTAGTTCCTACACGATTGTGTCCTCTGTAAAATTGAGCTCTATTATGAACGTTCGGAGCACTACTACAACACAGCATATTCTGTACAGTAAATAAGGACCTGTAATACTGAAACAACTGCAGAAAATAAAAATGTTGGTCTCCTTTTTGCAAAGACTAATTCTGCTTTCAAGACAGCTTCAGAATTGTCAGAAGTACAGTATAAAGAAAATAGTCTAAGGCATAGCAAACTCAAAGGAAAAAAACTGTAACAACAAAAATAATATTAAAACTTGGGCTGGGGCTTCCATTCAGGATTAGAAACATATCAAGATTGATATTTTTTAATGTTTAATACAAATTACTGTTCATTCAAAATTATATAAAAGGTAAAAAAAAACCAAAAAACACAACAGTTCATCTAAATAATAAATGAAACACAAGGCAGAATGAGGGACTAGAAGTTGGGACTTGATTTACTGTCAGTATACGAAAGTTTGAAATGGCTACACCTTCACAATCGAAAAGGATTAAGGTGAATACCATAACTAAAATAAAAGTAGTTTTCTAATACACTTTATAGCATCAATGAGGTTATATGTTTTTCTGAAACTAGTTTTGTGGAATTATATATATATAATACCAAACAATATATGTCTCAGCAACAACAGTTAGGTATGTTCCTTTCCTCAGAGATCTAACAAATTGTTTTTTTCCTGTAAGACAGTAAGTGCAGGAGAGAACAAAAAGCAAAACTCATTGGCACAGGTAAAAATGCTTCCTTTTTTAAAAACTCATGTTTATATATATGGAAGAAATATCTTAAAAATTAATTTCTGAGAGCAATGCAGTTGATAAAGAATGGTAGCTGAATGAATACTGTTAAACTGGGGCACATTTGATTCCAAATTCCAACAAAGTAACTGGAGTTACATCAGAGGGAGATTTTTGTCCACATTAATTTTATTGCTTTAGCAATAATGGTATAGTATGCTATAATATGGTATTTTGCTATTATTTTAGCAATTTTATGTACATATGATCTATATTTAATCTTTAATGCTTATGCTCTACTGAGACCAAGGTTTTTTCAGCATGACCGTACGCAAACACTGGCCAAGTACAGTTTAAGAGGGAATAAATTTTAGTTCCTTATCTTTTACTGAAACTTTGTAGAATCAACAAACAGGTAATGCAGGACTTGCACATCTCTTCTCCAACTCCCTAAGTGGGCAGAGAACCAAATTTCAACATTCTTCCAATTACATTTCTCAGAGGTGCTTATTCTCATTTCTAATAGCACCTGTACCATTTCAAAACTTTCTGTTTGGAGATTCATAACTAACAATTACAGTCTCCGTACATTTTAGTATATCAGAAAAAGTTTTGGAAGATAACTTCATCAACTACCACATTTCCTATTTAAAATGGAATGCAGCTGTATGCTGGATTCTATAAAAGATACGGATGATTAAACATGACCACGGATTTTGTTCTAGAGAAACAAACCAGAGAAAAATATTTCCATTTGTTTATATCTGTGTTAAACTTGACTTATTTACAACTACAAAAAGTTGAATAAATGTTAATATTGCTTGCCATGTTCACCTCACTAATTCTTTTGAGTAAGTTTTAAGCTCTTGACCAAGATAAAGCCCTCAGTCCTGACAATTTATTAAATATTTTTAAATATATTTCTAATGCTTGTAAAGTTTTCTTTTATGTGTGTAGAGTCATTTATACTGAAGAGCTTCCAGTCAGAAATACTGCACTTTTTTTTTTTAAATAAATTTACAGTATAGCTATGTATCAAAAGGGATTCAACATTTCCCCAGTGCCTTTATACACGATAAATCACAAGTTATTTGTTCCTTATAAACACTAGAAAAATTTTTTTAGGTCTTGGAATACTAACATACCTCCTAAAGAAGTTTCCATTTGTTAAGCCAGATAGCTTAGCAATTGTCAAGTTAAACAACATGTTTTAAAGCTCTTTTACTAGTGATATTTTACAGAGAAATAAAAAAACCTACTTGTGTTGAGAAGTAACAGTGCTTTCATACATAGGAACTCTTCTTGGCTAACTTGAAGTCTGACAAATTCCTGTGGGAGTTGCCACATGGACAGACACAGGGAATAGAACGATGATTCTTTCATCCTCTGTCTTACACCCAGAAAAGGTAAAAACATATTAAAAAACATAAAAATAAAGCAAAAGAACAGCTACAGTACTAATTGCTTGAATGAAGTGCCTTGTTAGTAGTTTAATTAACACATTACAGAAATTAAAGAAAGACATACAACAAACCAATTTTCTGACTTTTTTTATACCTACACTAGTTTTTCAATCATAATGAATGTGCAATTATTTTAGATGTGTCATTTGTTACTGCTGCCCAGGAAAAAAACTTAGACTATCAAAGCTGAATGCTAACCACTAAAGAAGATTTTTTAATTAAAAACACCCTAATAATTAATGTGAAGTACTTTTTTTCTTTCAGAGGTTGATAGATTTTACATTCTCTGAAAAAATTTGAAGCATAAAACTGAAGATAAACCTGAAAGTTTATAGAAACTTGTTCCTAGGCTTTGCAAAAGTGTCTGCATGAGAATACTTTGTTGCAAGCCTAACATTGCACTGCTAACAGCAACGATATTATTTTGTAGCATTTTATGTTATTAAAGAAACAGTTAAAAATGTTAAATGTAAATATATACAAAAAGTATTTAAGTAAACTTAGACATCAGTACAGACTTATCTAAACTCCTGCAGAGGTAAACAGGACAAATCACACAAGGAAATACATAAAACTTCAGTTTTTTGCAGTACTTCAATCTTACATTTTTCTTTGAGATTTTGGTATCCTGAATATATTTCATTGCATATATTTATTGGGAAGGCAGATTTCAACTGGAATTACTGCAATTACATTACTTCAAAGTATGTAAACTAAACTGAATTCACTGTACATGAACCTGAAGATCCACTATCATGAGCTAATTTTACAAAGCTGCATCCCAATCCAGACGAATTAGGAACAACAACGACAAGATTGAAGTCTGCCTGTCCCCCTGACGAAGTTCAGATCAGTGTTCCAACTTGCCTGCACACAGCACCACCAACAGTGAAAAGAGAAGACATTTTCCATTAATAAAAGACTTCTCCCAGTGCACTGAGTTTTCTTCTTCTGTTATTTAAAGTGTTACTGTTATCTTAAACAAAAATGATTTCATCTTTGTTCAACATCTGATATCTTGCATCAGCTCTTAAATGACTTAAACACAGAAATGTAATCTGTTAGATCTGAAAGGATTGGTTACTTCTATAGCTACTTTAAATATACCCTCCTATTCCTTTCTCATACTCAGTATTCCCACGTGGTATCTATGAAAGTTGACAGCAGTTTTCAGGGTATGCTTAAATGCTGTTCTTAGTCATGTTTTCAGACACTGCAAGTATAAGTAACAGTAAATCCTTGTAGGGTTTTAATCCTAATTCCTGAAATCGTTGTCAGTCTAACACTTCTGGCTTTCTTGGTCTGAAAGTGATGCTACTGAATAAGTCATTCCCAAGCAGCACTACAGCTTAGTTCATTAAATGACTGATTTGCTCTGAAACAATCTTGGATTGTGGTTTCATGGTCATTTTGAAACAACTCAAGTGTGTGTTGCCCCTGTGGAAGGAATTTCCATTATCTATTTCCACCTCTAGGTGCGCGCTCCTCGTGTCCTGGCATCAGTGCCTGCATGCCCACATGGTTTGTCAGATCAGGGATCACCTCCATCTGCTAATTAATGGCTTTTTCTGCGGTGTCTCTCAAGCATATCAATTCCTTATCTGTTTGACAGTGCAGCCAGATAGTGTTTGATTCAGCTGAAGTGAAATCATGGAGATGCACGATCAGGGCTGTGAGGCAGCTGGAGTTGACTTTTTGGCTGTGTTCTGTGCTTAAAGTGATCATAAAAGTACACTCTTAGACATCATAATAGACAAGGAAGTTGCTTATATTTAACTGATCTAAAAGCTAGCTTATTTCCCAATAAAAAGTTGCAGCTATGATTTACTGTGCCAGTTACTTTTCCTGTCTAACTCTTTGTTTATAATGTTTCTAATATGACCCTGATGAGATGTTGTATAACATCTCACATACCCAAGAGAAGGCTATGTGGTCAGCCCACCTCCTTCTCAATGTGGCTGGTCTTGAGCTGCAAACAAGAAGCTGTTTCTGAGGGTTCATAAACCTCAACGCTACACTTGAAGAAAGTCATCTTCACAAAGTGGTAGCAGTGGTCCACATGCAGGGTAATACCACAAGAGAGGACATTATTGCATAAAGCCATCTCACTCTGTGTTTCCTCTGAATGTAACCATGGTATATATTACTGACTTTGCTGGGACAGAATACGGTCAGAAGTTCTTTCAATCTCATCCCTTCAAAGTATTTCAATCTGTACAGCACAATTAATACACATGGAAGAGGAAATAATGCATCAATCTATAACCTCACAGGGATTTACAGGCATCTCAAAGAGGAAAAGGCCAGGAGATGCAGGGCCTGCTCCACAGAGTATTTTTTATAAAAACCTCCTCTGGCAAGAACATATGTCTATAGATTTTAAATTCATTCATGTCTATAGATCTTAATTTCAAGTGCCTAGATCTTCTGTAAATCTACCTCTTAATCCTTCAGCAGGTATGTGTTAAAAGAAAACTTGTTTAACTTTAATCTGACTTCATAGTAGTTCTTTTAGAATGTTGAGAAAAAATAACTCAGAAAAATGGATTAAGGAAAAATATATAGGAAGATTAAATGATGTCCTACTGTTTCTGGAAACCTCCCCTGTATTATAACCAAAGTATCTAAAATTACAGCTTTGAAAATATTAATTTGCAGAGCTGAAAAACTGATGAAGGACATCATTTCAATTCATCAGCAGAGTGAAGGAAAATCTAAGCCAACAATCCCCACACACACCAGAAATTTATCATATATCACATATTTTATCCTCGATACTAAAATTCCTTCTTGCTAAATTATTACAGTTTTCTAACAAGAAATGTACTTTAGAAAAGCAGAGTTTTATCAGAAAGCATCAAAACTATTTTACGCTATACACAAACTATTTGCAAAAGCCACTCAAACAACAACGACCAAAGAAAATCCCACTTAGTTTCATTTATTAAACATTAATTCATGTCCTAGTCAGATGAATCCAGGTTAATCTTCTGACAGCATAATTTTTTTAAAAAATTTTACTCTTAGATCATTAAAATATGATTTGAACTCCTTTTGTTTGGCAATGTCAACAGAATATTTGAGATTTGCCCAAAATTCTTCCCAAAGTTGCTGTACTTTAATATGATCAGAGGACTTTCCTCTGCTTTCAATTTTGTAACAGAACAAGTCATGAATGGAACCTTGGCCTCAATGAAATCACATTCTCATTGACAGATGTTCAAAATGTCATTCATACTATGCAACAGCAGAGTTTACTTACTCATTTAGAATCAGATCTGGTGCAAAATATAACATCTGACCACTGACATGTTTGTATGATCTCCATCCCATTGCAAAAACCATTAGACTCATCCAGGAATACTGGATGAGAGTTATCTGGTCATCAATATGTAAATTCCGAAATCCTGGAAGTGAAAGGAAAAGTTAAAATACTTTATAATTCTCATTTAGACAACAGATGAGTAGGTGTTCTAAGTTCACAACTTTGAGCTATAAAACTGAGAATACCTGGAAAGACAAGTGCTTTTGGGGATGTAGCTTTCAGAAGTTTAAGGTGTTTGTATAATAACTGGCTATCTCTCACTTTGATCTGAGATCAAGGTAACCTCTTGCCTTTCTGTCCTGATCCGATACTTGATCCAATGATTAAACCAAAATTAACTTTAGCAGTCAGAAGTGACTATTTCAGGAAGCAGGAAAAAAAACTTTGGTAAAAATATGGCAGTTTGTAACAAGATCACTGTAACTATCTCTTATTTAATACAGATAGCTTGGACTTTAGTGTTTAGTGTTCTTAACAAGAGCACTAAATACAATAAAAAACAATAAACATCCACACATTAGTAACTTTCTTGTATTTAACTAAAAAGAAGAGCATTCAGTTGTGTATTTGCCTTTGATAACTTCTGTTCTTTGATAACTTTAAAGATTGCTATGAAGTATTTTAGTTAATCTAACTGTTTCCTGCCACTGAAAGCAGTAGTTCTGTTCCTCATTACCCGGCCTTGTTACCTCCTTCAAGCAAGCTCTGGCATTAATGCCACCCCTCAGTGAATTGGTTCAGCTCATGAAGCCATCAGAAAACTACAGAGGGTAAAAAAAAGGTTTGTTTTCTTCTCACTTAATGAGATGAATCAGTTCAACCAAGCAGTTTGACAAGCACAAACTGCGATGGGGAAGAGCAGTGACAGAGACTACCCTTTCCTGCAGCAGTGAAGTGTCAAACTGAGTTCAGATGAAACCCTATTTCAGGGCTTTCTGGTCAATATATTGATTTTTATATATCCCAGGATCAGGCCCCTTTGACCATACAGCGCATATACCTACATGACATGGATTTTTTTTGGAATCCAGTCTTGGATCTTCATATATTCAGCTACTTCTCATTACCAGTCTATTTGTGAGCAGCTTAGGCCTAACTGGTACTATTTATTACTATTTTTCTCTGTTGCTTTCAAAAATTCATTTTAATAAGAATAAAGAATATGCAGAAATAGAAGCATTTTTTAATACCAAAAGAATAACAGAGTATGAAGGCTTAGAGTGGGAAGGCTGCTATAATGAACATATACAGGAAATCCCTGGGCTTCTGTTGGTTTTTGGAGAGAGTCTACCTATTTAGATGCATTCCTTCCAGAGCACCCTCCTATTAAAACGTATTTGATTGGTGCATCTATTATCTGATGAAGTGGAAGCTTAATCATTTTAGAATTTGTTAAGAGTTAATTAACAGGCAGACAATAATAGTCTGTTTTGACTGCTCATCCGATGACGTATTTCCTTAACTGGAATTCATTACATATAAGAAGTGCTATTACCTGGTAGCAATTTAGACCATTTGACTACACAAAGAAGTTGCCTCTCACAAAGATGATTCAGACTGGTCAGCAAGGAACTTGGTGTTTCGGGTTTTGTATTGTCATAACCAGCATAGACAACTTCGGGCTCAATGCCTCGTAAAACACTTATCATTGGGGGAATGAACTGTATTTCTTGATTTGGAGAAAAGGGCAGCCTTTGGTTTAGAGATTGGCTTTCATCTTGAAGGGTTGCTGGCTGCTGGAGTGCAACATCTAATGTTCTCACAACCTTAATTTTGTTAAACTTTTTAAATTTTCGACCTGAAAAAGAAAATTGTTGATCAGTTAAAAAGAGTTAACCAGAAACATTAATATTTTCCATTATTGCTGAATTACACTTTTCATCCATACAAGGAAACTAGAACTGTCTTCTGAAAAAACTGTCTATGTTTTTATTACTTATATAATTAAGAAGTTATAATGGAAAATTCTTAAGAGTTTCTCCCTCCATATCCTCCTCCCTTCACTACAAGATGAATGGTACCCACCCATTAAATTTATGACCATGACTTCTAGGTTACAGTAACCTCATAAAGTATTTTCTGGTTCAGTTCCCACTGTTCTATCATATGCCGTCAGCTGAGCCAGCTGGCTCTACAATCAGTTCCTATTCAATGTTAATTAAGGATACTGTTTCTTTTTCTCTCTAATATTCAGAAACAAAAATGCTAGTAATTAATTACTATACACAGAAATTCCTTTCCTCCAGTTCCATAAAGGCATTTCAGTGTCATGGCTAAATTCTGTTTCAATTATCTGTAATATAATATTATCCTTTTACCAGAAAGAAAACATAATTCAGGGGATGAATGAAAACCCAACAAATACTGTAAAACCACATGTCAACACTTACAAAACTTTTCACTTTCTAAAGAATAATTCCTCTTTCTCAGTATTTGTAGTTCTTATTTCCATACTGCAGTGGTTTGAAGAACACTAACTAAAAAAAATATTTGAAATACCTACCCAAAATAAGTACAGCTACTACATCTGGTATGACTATGCAAGCATACAGAGCTCTAGGTAGAAACTCTTCAAATTGCTTTCACGGAAACAGTCCGGCAGCGCACCACACAGACACAGAAAATCAAACCTTCAGGGGTTCAAAGACAATAACCCTCAGTAACATACTGCCGTATTACATGTTTCAATAAAAAGATAAATCCATGTAGCGGTGGCTGCATAGAATACGTTCACTTTAAATAGACCCTCAAAGGTGATGAAAACCCTGTCAGGCCATTAGTTCTGCAAAACAAGCTTAGCTTAGTAAAAAACGGGTGTCCTAACAAATAAAAAATGCAAGAAAATTACTGATACTTATGGTCCGATTTAGATGACAGTGGGACAGTAAAAGAGATGCACAGTGATGGCAAAAAAAGGGTAAATCATTCTGCTACTAAAGAAGAAGTTTACATGTTTCAGTCTTAAAGAAAATAATAAGGAAGAAGATTTTGCTCAAAAAAACCCCAGAAATCACATGGATATTATTACTTGGTGAGGTGTTGCATACTTCAACAATAGTAGAAAAAGAGATGCACCAAATTTTACTGGATGGAAAGAAAATCCGTTCCTATCAAACTGCTGCACCACTGAGAAGCTGCATTATAAACTGGCAATACGCAAAAACCACTCTAAAAGTACAGGAGTCGAAAGCTAACAGAAGCATAACAGCATGCATCTATTTGGTCAAATTAAAATCCAGTTTATAACATGCTTATCAAATTTGGTTTGAAAAACGGTACTTTTATTTACAAGTGAAAGATTAGACAAAGGAACTTACACATCCTACAGGAAGGGGACAAAGTTTTCCCTGTTTCTTACTGTCTTAATTTCATTTTAGTTAAAAGTAGCACTGTGCTACCAGAATGCAACCAGCACACCAAAAAGGCCCGAGTACACTGGAGCAGGGAAGCACACCTAAACTTCAGCTCATGCCCTGAATCCATTCTTCACTATTTATGGAAGCAATTGAGAGATGCTTGCATAGGCAGACTCAGCTATTACTTTCCTCCTTACAAAGTCTCAGTCTTTCATACTGCACACTAAACCAGAAAGGTTTGATAAAAATTGCTTTACTAAGGAATGTGTCTATTCCACTTTCTTCAGACACTCCCATATCACAGAAGATAGTAAATTTTATGAAAATCCTGTGTCTCTATTTTGGAAGACCTAGGATGTACACTCCAGAGAATTAAATTGACCTTTTCAAAACATTCATTAGTACATGAGTAGCATAGCTTCAAGCAAGATTAATACATCAAACATAGAAAGATTTCTTATGTAATTTCTAAATATTTTATGCAGAACAAATTCTATTCCTTAAATTAATTATTCTTGATGTACACTGGCATAACTGGAGGCATAATCAATCCTCATGTTTGTGAACCAGACAGGACTGAGCAGAGGAATGCAATCTAAAGAGCAAAAATCTGCTTTTTAAAAAGAATAATTTTGTGTCACCCCATCGTAAATATGTATGCTTCTGCATTTCACATACAAAAAGGTATATGTACACAAAAGCACACAAATTCAATTTAAATTAAAACTACTTTAAATTCAAAGGTCATATACTAAACAAAATTTCGACTCAATTTATTGATAGTATAAATATGAGTGATGGGCTCTTCAGCAACACTCATCATCCAATGACGTCAGGGGTCTCATACTCCCACTAACTTAACTGTGAATTTAATTAATCTACTATAAGTCCCCCAACAATCTTATGCTCATTTTATCATTTGTGGTAAGAATACAAATATTTCTGATTAGTGCCTCCTTAGTAAAGAATCAAACACAAACTTATACCTCATGTTACAACTGAACCAAAAAGAAACCCAAAAGAATAGACAACATATTATGACAAGAGAACTAGCGCCAATTTCTGTCATAATAAAGCTATACATAGTCCTAAACATGCTGGGAATTTCCCACTAACTATTGTTAAGGCATGAAGGAAAACAGAAGGAACAATGCATTTGATAGTTCATAAATAAAGCATTTCAGCTATTTTCTGAAATAATGGCTTCAGATACTTTTACAGTTCAGAGAACAAGTAAAGAAAGAAACCAAACAGAGTGCTTATCACATGGAAATGTTAGTAGTTAATAAGTACCCCTGTTTCCAAGTGATTAAATCTATCAGAATTAATGTCACACTGGTTTGCAGAATTGCTTATGTGTTTATTTCTAATTATGTTGCTTAACAGCCACCAGTAAAGCAACTTCACTCATTACCTATCTACAGGAGACGTAACTACTAGTAACTTACAGTAAGCTTTCCCATCTACCACAAGGAGAACATATCAAATTAATGGAGATTATTAAAGATATAGGGAAAACACCGTAAATTTGACAATACCTTTGTTTTGCTTACAAAAATATTCAGCTAAGTTCCTGTAGTAGGATAAACATATGTCTCCACTTAGTCCTATACTATGCAAAGAATACTAATCCACTCTGGCAACTACTGAACTTAATACTAAAACCTGTCTATGCATAATTAGACAGCACACCTTTTCCTTGTAGCATTTTCATTAATTTGTTTTAAGTTAGCCAACCACTCAAGCAGTTTCTTTGTAGTCACAGTTTCCTTACCCTCAATTACTATAAACAGCATGTGTATAGTGTTTGTGTACTACATGTACCTAGAAAACATAAAGAAAATTTAAAAAATAAGACCTACTTAATCTAATAATCAAATATATTATGATTTTCTCCGTAATACATAATTCTGTATTTTAGTGTTCTTTTACCTAGCTGTACAGAACCATAGTGCCAATCAGACATTACGGATAGTAGACATTTCATGTGGCTGGGTTTCTAGTAAAAGTCTAACATCTCACCACCCTTCTCCATACCCTGTAAACAGGTGAAAAATGTCAATGGTTGATTATTCTTGACAGAACACTATGGCTCTGACTTTAAGGTCACTATGCTCCTGTGTTTTGTGTAGGAGAACAAGCAGTGTACACCTTAGGAAGGTGTATACAAAATAAAGGAACAAAGCAGCAAAGCAGAAGTAATACATCTTGACTTTAGTAAACCCTTTGATGTTACCTCAGAGAATATTACATGAAAAATTAATTTAAATTTCTCAGCATGTAAAAACTGCAATGTGAACTGAAGGCTGACTGAAACAATGAAGAGAGCAATAATTTAGCAATACAACTGAACAAGGAATCTGTGACAGTCAGCCTGGGAAAATTACAGATTCACTAACAGGCAATGAAAAAGCTGGGTATCTGTTTATTCCAGGACCTGACACAGCTACCTGTTGTCCTATTAGGTAGAAGGTCAGAACAACTGACTACATGTTATTTTGGAAATATCCAGCTTAATTTAATTGCTTTGAAATTAAGGTCAGAAAACTGGACAGAATATTGTCAATGTAATATAACATTGTTCTCTATCTACATGGTTGCCACTCAGCAACATTCAGCGGAAGATAAGTGTAATTATCCCAGCAGTAAGTTTAATTTAATTACTGTAATAAGAATCTTCAGAATCTTATTTTTAACATCCTGTAAAATCTTAGTCTTTCTCACCTTGATTAAGCAATATTGGAGGTCTGTGTTTAGTAACTGAAGGCTAGCATTAAGAAACTAAGTAGTGGGAGTAAAAGAACAAAAGTGTATCTATTTAAGTTCAGAAAAGCTCTTAAAATAAAATAGGCTGTAAACACAGAAAATTATTTAAAGTACTGACAATTCTGATTTGTTAAAAATATTCAAGGATATGTCATCTAAGTATGTAATTGGTTCCATGAATGGCTTATGGATGCTTACAACCTGGGAAAAATTATCTCATCTCCATACGCGTATTATACTATGTTGATCAGCGTGGCCAGTCATGAGTAGGAAATATTGCTCATGTGAAACAATAAAGGAAGTACTGAAGAAAGACAGAAAAGCAAAAGAGAGAAAGATGACAGTAACAGTAGAAAGAGTATTATGGTTAAACAGTCTTTCTTGAGTCCTTCTGTAGTTTTGAATTTTAAATCCTAATTTACAAATAAAATAATCTCACTCTTGTTTTCCTCTTTTTTTCCTGCCTACATTTGTCTTTTCTTCTCCTTTCAGTATTAAGCACTGCATCTCAATCTGCATAGAAAAATTGGCAGCTTAATCCCCCCAGGACTGTTGACATCACCAAGAGCATCTGAAATACTGCACTCAATCTGATGCAGCTAAGAAAAAACTAGAAATGCTACAGTTCTAGCTCCCTTTGAGATTTCTTTCTTTCCATTGCCTCAATGTTTTAGCCTGCTCTAGACCCCTGCCTCCTTGGCTTTCTCCTCTTCCAGACCTGGGGGATTCTTCTGTCACTGGGGCAAACAACACATCAAGTTCAGGGTGAGATGTCTGTCTTTGTAGTAATACTGTTTCTCTACTGCACTCCTATTCCAGCTCTAAAACACCATTTCTCTCTGAGAAGGATCCAAAGGACATGTTCTCTTCCTTTCATCTCTCTTCCCACAGTCCAGTGCCACCAACATAGTGTCAGCTCCATTTTTTTAACTGAGAGGCAGCTCTGAATGACCAAGGCACAGGAAGGAGAGACAGTAACACCAATTAGATCGACGACTCTCATTACTCTGTCTCCAGTGCTGTGGGGTGAGAGGGATACAGTTTGGAGAAGACAACTCTAGGGAGAGACTGAGCTAAAGGTTTTGGGAGGATCAGGGGTACAACATTCAGTATGTACTGCAGCATTGCTTCTCCCCTCTTCTCATCCCACTGGCTGTTCCCTGGAGCTGCAGCACTGCCACTTACGGAAGATGAAGTACTGAGAGCCAGCAACAACTGCTCACTGTTTGGGAACCACTGATTTATATCACCAATAAAAGTATAAAACATTAAATGACACAATGGCCATGAGTGCAGAATACTTCATACAGGAGCTGAATGCATAGAGCTGTGCAATCAAAATATCAGTCTGAAAACTACATACAAGTTGTAACTTATGAATGAACACAGATTAGCAAGATAATGAAATTATGCACAGTATATAATGCCAGTTGTTCCTTCATGGATAGAAACTACATAAAACACAGAGAGAGAGAGAGAGAGAGAGAGAGAGAGAGAGAGGTCTGATGCACTAAAATAAATTAGAAAGAAATCAGGTTTTGTTTTTTCTTTTTAAATTCCCTTTGAAAACGTATTCATTCTACCACCTTTATATAGCCATTTTCTTACAGTCTTACCCATATATTTTAAAGATTTGTGTTGGTCGAAAACTTTATATAGCTAAAGTTCTCATGAAAAATATGAAAAAATACATGAAAAATATACATATTTCCTGCATGTTAGCACAGCAAAACTTGCCATGTGACTACCTGATCCTATATCATTTTCTCCCTGTCGGTTTTCAAAGACATACTGCTCAATTTTGATTAATGTTACATTAAAAAAAAATCAAATCTGTTACAGTAAGAACTAATACAAAAATGGAAACTCCCAGCATCAGGTCTGCAAAGTCTGTAGTGTTGTACTGCCTGGCCCTCTTCAGTGCAAGAGTAGGATACAATTTTGTTGGCATACTCAAAGCAATGATGGAGTGAACAAGAGAAAAGAGAAGGAGATAGTGCTGATGCCCAATTTTAGTGTCAATCTCAATTTGCTTCTTTACTTTTTAACTAAATCAAATTCTCTAATCCAAAGCTATTAATAAATACACACCAAAGTATTAAAGTAATCCTGTGTAAACTTGACAGTTTGAAGGTAGAGTGCTTGACTGCCTGTTTTTCTGAATCAGATCCGAAAAGCAGCTCACCTCCCAGGACCATCCCAGCTTGACAGCACTTCCTCAAGCGACATGCAGGGCAATTCTTCCTACGAATTTTATCAACTATGCAGTCATTTCTTCCAGCACACAGATAGTTGTGCTGCCCTGTAGGCAAGAGAAAAACAGGATTAATACTATGTTTCTCACATGAAAAAGTTAATGAACCATTAAAAGACACTTTCATTTTATGCTTTCAAATATATTCAATAAATATAACAATTTATTTGTCCTGTTTAAGTGTGAACCTCCCCATCTACAAAATTCAAAACCAAGTAGCAGACAGTATGACTGCTTAAATTACTGTACTATCGATATTTCTTAAGTAAATCAAGCCTAAGGACAGATCAATTTGTTTCTTTCAAACTTATTTTTCTTTTAAGTTACTGTTCCTGATTTTAAAGTAATTAAGTAGATTTTGCTTGGATTGATGTGGATTTTCCAATAGAAAACTGTAGAAGTTGGAAAAATGCAAAAAAGAGTCAGTTAAGCAGAGTAAATTAACTCTGATGGAGAAGTAGTTTTGCACTAGACCTGCTGACACACCAGCTGAACAGAGGCAGCCAGCACAGCCAGAAAGGACAAACAAGGCAATTGTAACTTTTTGGTTTAGGTTAGTTCTGAGTTCATTGTTCAATTCTGAAGGACTCAGATAGGAAAAGCCTGTCATTATTCTATTAAAATAAAATCTTTTAAATTAAATTAGAATCATAGAATCATAGAATGGTTTGGTTTGAAGGGATGTTAAAGCTCATCCAGTCCAACCCCTCTGCCATGGGCAGGGACACCTCCCACCAAACCAGGTTGTTCAAAGCCCTGTCCAACCTGGCCTTGAACACTTCCAGAGAGGGGACATTCACAACTTCTCTGGGCAACCTGTGCCAGTGTCTCACCACCATCACAGTAAAGAATTTCTTCCTAATATCTAATCTAAATCTATACTCTTCCAGTTTAAAACCATTCCCCCTCATTCTATCACTACCAATTAGCTTCCAGCAAAGCAAAAAATTAAATTCAACTGATATCTTAACATTCTTTTGTACACAAGCATCAATACTTCCACATTTCACTTGAAGAGAATGAAAAAAGTGTATTTTTATGCCTTAGCATAATATTGATAATTTATGTGATTACTTATTCAAAATTACAATCAAACAAAGCTGAATACACAAGAGGAAAACGAAGCTAACTTTCAGATATCCTTTAAAATTAAGCCCAGGTTTACTCTAGAAGCTTAACCTCAAAATCCTGCCTGTTTGTGTATAACATCCTCTATTCACTTCTATATTTTCAGTTTCTTACCAGTTTCTAGCATGAAAGCATGAAAACAAATTTAAAAAAAATATCTGAGAGCAACAAAATGTATCAAAAACATATGGACAAACTACAGAAGTACCAATATCATGCATACTTACTTCATGGGATATTGTGTATGTGGACCTCCAAATATAATAGTTATAAATATCAAACCTTGCAAATTTTACTTATTTCTAGATCAGAATTACTCTGATGTCACCAGTAGTAAAAAAATTGGAGATTATTATTCCACCCAGACGCTGTTATTCAGCTTTCTTTATAACACCATTCTGCAGTTTCTCTGCACATGGTAAAATGAGTAACTGTTCACCAATAACTTTACTCCAGAGAAGAAAGACAAACTGAAAACAAATCCTCAGCTGAATACAGAGATAGAAGAACATTCAGTTCTAACAAAAGAAAAGAGATAGTGCTAAACCATGTAAAACAATGTATTTGTTTCTGTGCTAACATATTTTTAGATAATTAATTTACTTTTTATTCATACTTCTAAGAACAATTAATTTGGTTTTAATGAAAGAAACGTATGCCTGAATTTTTTTTTAAATGGTTTATTTTGTTTTAGAAAGTGGTTAAATAAAAACAATTGCCTCACACACTGCCTGGCATTTTAAAAGTACTCAGAAATGTAGTATGTCAGAAGAGGTTCTAATTTATGTTCTCCCATTAATTCTGATCCTGGATTCCATCTCACAGAAAACATTACCAAAAGTAACCCAATGAATAGAAATCTGTCTTGCTTTTGGCAGAAGACCAGGAAGAAAAACACTTGAACACATCTTCCTTGGGATTATTTGCTGTTTTCCTTTGTGTTGCTTTGCCTTTATTAGTTACAAGGCATTCAGTCTTTTCCTAGGCAACTGTTTTAAAACTCTGTTAGTTTAACTAAAACCCGTGATGCATCGGACTATCTCTGCACTGTGGCATTCTGATGATTTAATGTACAGTTAATTTACAAAGGAACGCTCAAGTGTAGGTTAAGCTTTGTGTACAAGTGTCTTGGAAGGGTTTTTTGGTCCCTTGAAGGTATCTCTTCTGGATCTCTTTTCTAGGGAATATTTTGAGCCTTCACATCATGGTTTGAATCCATATAAGCCCATGTCCATTGCAAGACCAAAACATGAACTATGTATTTCCAGGAAAGCAGTAAATGCTCACAAGCAGCTCACAATGCTATAGGCATTCAATCTGTACTCTTGCCCCTATACTGACACAGAAAAATGCTGATCTACCAAAGCCAAAGTCATATCATGAAATATTACTCTTGAAGGACTCAGAGAAAGGCACCCTGTCTATATGCTCTAGAAGGATGTAAGTATTTAGAATTCTCTCTTGATGAGTGAGAGTACATGATTTGTGTACTTAACACCCAAAGGGCATACTCTAATCACTAATGGAGGCTAAGGAGTTTGAGTAGAAGTAGTAATAGCAACATTGTTTCTCCTGGAACAGGAAATTATCTGGAAAACCAGAAGTTAATAACTTGATTTACACTGATACACAATTAAATACCCTGTATTATTTATATAAGAGTGTTTAAATATTATACATCTAAGATTAAGCATCACAAATCAAGGGTGCTATACATTGTAAAATTTTACATTTACAGTTACATATTTAAGTTTAGTTACAGCTTTTACAAACCTCTTTATAACAGGGGTTATCGGATCCAACTTCCACTTCAATGGAAAAGGTATTAATTACTCCATCATCATATAACAACTCACAAACCAATTAAAAATCCAAGATTGTACAAAATCTTTCACATTTGCATAACAAATTGTAAATGAATCACAATTATGAAAACTATTCTTCAGTGTCCATATGTTCTAGAGTGTCAGATTAGACAGGATTAAATAATCTCTCTGTCCAGTGCATACCATGGAAGAAATGAATGTCATCAGAATTTAGTCACAGTAAGAATTTGCTTTGATCTTCAAAAAGTGAATATTATTTAATTTCTATTTATTTCATAACTTGTATGTAAAAATCTAAAAATGCCCAGTGAGCTAATCTTTATTATGCGTTTACCTAGTAAAGTAAGATAAAGTCAAAACCCTGCCAACCCAACCTTCCCATGAGATTATGGTGATAAAATCTCAGGGACTTGTTGATTCTTACTTTCTTATTTTCAAGACTGTAAAAAAGCCACAGTCATATCCTGAGCTTGAATTACACCAATTACACCTTCGTGTGAGTCTTCCGCTCTGCTCAGCTCTATCCAATCTCTCCCCAATACCTCCCATTCCATGGTGTACTTCACTCATTCTGATTCAGCTGCAACTTACTTGGAAAACACATAAGGGTCAGTTATATAGTATTTTTCATAGTCTAATCTTTCAAGGATTTTTTTATTATCTCAGTCATCTGATTGGATCTCATATCTATAGATAAATCTGCATCTGTGTTCTCATCTGAAACCATTTCTACCATTGTGCAGAGCTGGGTTCTGAGAAACTGTTACTTGATATTAATATTTAAGTGGTAGCAATCATCTGAAGGACCAATTGTGTAAGAAGTGGAAAGCAAACCAAATATTTGATGAATTTCAAAATTATGAGAAAATACGTACTTAGGTGAAGCTATTTGGAATGCTCTCAGGGGATGCTAAAACATTTATTTGAAAATACATTCTCTACATCTCAATCTCTAGGATCATTTATATTATAACTGACTGGCTTCAATATGTATGCACTGCAGTTACATTAAATGCACGTACTAACAAAGTATAGAAAGACTCCTGTCAAGATAAAATTCCTGTTCAATTAGTAGCTTGTCATTCAGTATCTTTTATATGACTACTGTCATTATAACCAGGAAAAACACCCAGACAAAAACCAGGATAGTAGTCTAATCACTAGAGCACAGGTCGGAAAGTAGAGACTGATACTGGTGCTTCTTACAGAAATATGAATCTGGCAACTTTCTGGCAACTGTCACTTTCTTGGAAGTCTTCACCCAATGTTAAGTTTCCTATACACGTTTACTTTTCACCTCTTTTTGAAAGTGCACACTGTAGCTCTCTCAACGTATTGACATATCAGCTTGTGACCCAGATTTCATTGAGAATATGGAGAAAATACAGAGATTATTTCATCTGTTACTCATATGCTCCACATTCTTGTAGGATAGAATTTTTCTTAACTTCCATCAAAGTTCATTTGTGTTAGCAAAGGTGGAAGTCCTAATGCAAACAGCCAAATATGATTTTAAGTTCTGTGATGACACAAATACTATCAAAGGTTTTGTTGTCAGTAACACTGCACAGATCATACTCCAGCACTGAGAAATTTTAATCAAAATATTGCTGGAAGTAGCATGCACAGTGTCTTTAAAAACTGCACTAACTTAGCTTACTGACATGCTGTAGTACTTCAAATCAATTAGTTGCAGAGATCTTGCAGATGTGCAAAACATGGAAAACATAAGGTTTCCTCTGCACCAAGGGTGTCAGATGCAAGCAATCAGTTCTTTGTGTCAGCGCATCTGTGCTGAACTGCTGCCACCCTGGGCAAAAGCAAAGTCTAGCCTAGTTCATCGTCAGAAATGGGAAACACAGATAACTTGACCTCTGCTCTGACCTAAATCAACCACTCTTCTATTTACATTGCTTCAATGTGCAACACAGCAAATGTGGGTTAGGTTTGCCTCTCACTGTGTGGGTTTATGAGCTTCGACCTTGGAGAATTAGGAACCTATACTACACAGTTTGTAATACCTAAAATACACCCTTTGTGTTCCTGTATGCCATTACAGGCCATTACAATCGCCAAGATTACACACAGCTCAAA